TGTACACAACTAAGTGGGTCCACGGGGCTAGCAAAGCGACCCTGGCCCAGGCTTCTGGAGTCAGCAGGAGTGTTACGTACGTCGGGAGCTTGGCATTACGGGGTGCGGCAAAATGGTTCAACCTTGGACCGTCCCACGGTCGAAACAGCCTGGAGGCTACCCACTGGGGTATCAGCCACTCCATGTTTTGGAGACAGAGCCGCCCTAACAGGGCGTCGCCAGACTGTTCCTCACCCCTAGAAGGTGGTGTGCGGTTAGCTCCACATTGTATTCCAGGCACCAAAGGAGGATTTTGCTCCGCTAAGACTGTCAACGATGGGGGATGCGTCCCCCCTCCTTCTTGAAGGAGACCACCGCAGCGTTGCCTGTGCAGAGCAGGACTCTGTGGTCTCGAACCACGGGTAGAAAGCGTGGTAGTGCTAAGTACACTGTTCTCAGTTCGAGCCGGTTGATATGATAGTCCTGAAACTAATGCGGGGGCCATATCCTTGGGCTTGTTGGCCCAATAGATGCGCTCGCCAACCCTGGGGGAGATATCTGTTACCAGAGTCATACCTGCGGCGAGCGGGCCCAAGGGGCTCCCCTGTCCGAGGTTGGCCAGTGATGACCACCAGGGCAGGGCTTCCTTCACTTGGTCCGAGATCGAAACCCGCCTATCTAGTTCCCATAGGAGAGCTCGGAGTTATAACAATCGTTATACCGGGCGGCTGCATAGTGCGGCCTGGGGAGTGTTTGGGGGTTCACCCGAAATTCGAATACTTGGCCCAGCTGGGCGATCGGTACATGCAGGCAGGCCCCGCTTAAGTCTAGCGGGGCTAGCCAGTCAAAATGGTGGATGGAGAGAAGAACCCTGAATGGTGTCTCCATGTGGAACTGATCGAGGAGCACGTACTGATTCAGTCTGCCTAGGTCCAAAACTGGACGCCTGCCACTTGTAGATTTGGTACTACGAACACATTTGGGTAGAAGCCTGGCCTTAGTTCCGGCTGATGTACCCTGTGTATGGCGTCTTTCCCCGGCAAACTGCTACTTCCTGTCTGATTGCTTCCGCCTTGCGGGCCTCCCCTGGCAGTGCCCAACAGGGGAGACACTGAGGGGGGGAAATGGAGATTTCAGCGATATCCCGTAAATGGATGTCACCACCTGGAAAGGTCCAGGGATCGGTCACCCGCCGTCTCCAAACCGGACTACGACAGGAATATGTGGCCATGTGTTCGGCAGTTGCGAGGGGGGGTGCTCCCTTCCCCCATGAGGTGAGTTCCCCAAGGCCAGAAGTAGTCACTAAGTTGTGACCTGGCCATTCACCGAACACGTGCCTGGTCACGCATAATAATGTGCTCAAGCAACTCTGCCCTCGGGACTGGGTGGGTCGTCTTCAATTGGCAAAAACACCCATGGAACGCGGCTATCCCCCTTTGCCCGGTTTGCCAAATAAGTGGTACCGGGGTCTGGGGAAGGAGCCTTGGAATCCGGTTGGGGGCGTTTTGGTCTCATCCCACGCTATGGGGTCTGATCCCGAAACCACACCGACCGGGTAGCGTTTGGTCCAGTGGGAAGTGTTGCCTAATGTTATCCCCACCCGCCCCCCATCAACACCGTTTGCGTGCTCTGCGCCACACTCAGGCGGACAGGGAGAGATGTGCCAATGGGGTTGCTTTGGATCCCGATGCCCGTGATCCCATAAGCGTTGAAGCAACCTTAGGTGGTTGCTTTAGGATCAAGGGTGGGGGTTTATACATCGTATCACTGGGATTGATGATACTCCGCCTCACCCCAAAAGCGTGGCTCACCGAGTCATACAGATGGAAGACTCTGAGGGACTCCCAGGAGTACTGGCTGTATCCGACGCGAGCGAACTGCGTCTCCTTTCACTTTAAATATGTGAGAGGGAGCGTGTTCGACTGTGCGTCTCATGACAGGGTCGGTTTCCTCTGGGGACGCCCGTGGGTCGGTAAGAAAGGAGTCAAAACCCACAGCGAGGACCAGACACAAGGATAAATTTGTTACCGTTGTACCGTTACCGCATGACGAATCCTAGCTGGCTGAAAGTGGGGGGGGGGGTCAACGTGTGCCCTGCCCTGAAAGCCCTGGCCCGAGATCGGCGACTTGGCTGTCAGCACCCCGATGGCATTCAGTGCCCGAGGATCCAGAGAAGGACCGGTGCAATTAGCCTGAGCCTCAGCCACCCCCCAAAATAGTGGGAGAGCCGTGACTGGGAACGGGGGTTCCCCGGAAGAGACGTGTTTGAATGCAAACATGCTTTCGTGTCTCTTCCTGCTTGTCCATCGAGGGGACACAGTGGAGACAGCTCGCTCCGACTGCGTCTGATCTACCCGGCCTGCCAGGGACGCAATTGCCCCGACAGTCCTTCGACCAAAGCCCTCAACCCAAAAGCAAACCCAGCGCCGTGCGAGGAAGGGTCCACAAAGAGACCCACAACGGGCCCCATAGGAGGAAAGCCCCCAGGGGCACAGCCTCACTGTAGCCGGTAAAACACCGCCTGAAAAAACTGTGAGGATGCCCTTCGATCAGCGGGGGAGACCGAGAAAAATATTGGTACCTCCACCGTCAGGCCTCTTACTCGACGTCCCGGTACATGAAGTGCTGGTAGCCGAGCGTGAGGACTTTCCACTCAAGCAAAACACGCAACTCACTTTAACCGATTTGTTTACTGGACGCGCGACCTTGCTGTGATGCGGTCAGTCTTTTGATGGCTCTGAAAGAAAATCTCAGGCTTCAGAACTCCAGTGAAAAAACACGCTTTTACGCAAAAAACCTGAAACCCGCACGTAGCTACGACAAAGTATCTCGGATGCGGGTTCTATGCTGGTAAATTCTGAATATAACCACTGCACGGTCGACTCGAAACACGAGGAGACCGGAAAGAAAACTGCAGCGAGCCCTGGTGCTGTCATTACATCTATATATTGCTAAAAACTTATCCTACCAGCTACAATGTCAACAACCCAAGCTATAAATCTGGACAGGAAAAAAAAAAGCAGGCGATCCAGCAGAGCTCGCTAGATTTCATCTCCACTCGAGGCGGAGAAAAAATAAGAGTGATGGACGGCTACCTGTGGCGCTGCCAGGTGGCCTCGGTCACGTGGGTTCGTGACGTAAGGGGTAAAAGAATCTTGAGGTCGTGGGGCTTCCCCTGACCTGGATTCTATCTCTCCGTCACCGGCAGAATCGCTGATTAATGCCTACAGTTCAAAATAGTCATTTTGACTGATCGGAGTCTATGGTGGGTAATTGAACGTAGTGAATCGGCATGATCATGAATGAAACAAAAATGGCCGACTGGTGGAATCTCTAAAAAAAAAACATAACATGTACTTTTAACTCCATATGCATGTTCATGATACAATGTTTGTACAAAATCATCCTCTTCATCTCAGAGAAACAGTTTTGGACATTTTAATAATTGGTGATTTCAGGTTCAAAATGGCCGTCTATTTGACAAATCACAAAATAACACAAACTACGATATTATCTAAGAGTATAGTACTTGTATGCAAACTTTCAACTGAATTAGGCAATATATTAGTGGAGAATCAGCATGTACAGAAATAAAAATATGGCCCCTAGTCAGCCATTTTTGTTAAAATCCCCCCAAAAATAAAATGTTCACATGTAATCCAATATGCATCATCATGATACAAAGTTTGAATGAAATTGCCCTGTTCATCTCTAAGAAATAGATCTGGACACATTTACTTGATCAATTTGTAATGAAAATTGATGTGCATATGTAAGTAATCATACAATGGTCTGTATGCTAAATTAAATGTGCATGTCTGAGAAATGGCTTCTGACGCACGGATGGACATACAGAAAGAACCCAAATTAATAGTCCCCTATATCAAACTTTGTCTGAAAAGAAAACATACCCGTTTCACTTCAGCCTCAAGAAGTCGAAGCTCATTCTGTAAAGCTCCAACTTTTGTGATGGTTTTTGCAATCTGCTGCGAGTACGTAGTCAGAATACCAGTATCCTTGTCGTTATTGGCGGTCAGTCTGGAGGACGGTACATGCTGTCTGATGTAGTATATTGTACTTCCAATGTAGTCACAATGATCATGGATGTTACGAATCATGGCATTACATTCACCAAAACTGACAAAAATACAAATATTAAATAAAATGACCAATTAATTAAATCAAATTTAAACTTGAAGTCCAGCATAAAAAATAAATAATTGTAATATAATTTTTTAACAAAATAATATTTTAAAAAGTAAATTTAATAAAATTTAGACAGGTTTATTTGGAGAAGAGTTAAACACTGACTTTTCTAAAAAAGTTGATGAGAAATTAATTGCCATGGGCATAATAATAAGAAATTCCACTTGATTTAACTGTCTAAATCACAACAAGTACACAGATATCCCACCATTATGTTTTGTATGGTATCTCCTATGTAAACTTCAGTATGTATTGCATTGCCCACTATTTAAATGATCTAACCTCTTACCAGACCCTTCCGCAAACTAGTGACTTTTTATTCTACACAGGATTGCATCTAAACTTCACTTTCTATATTATCCTTAAACCTCACTACTTCTTTCAAAATAGTAGTTTATAAATTAATAAACACTGCTCAGACTGATAAATGTGATATATAGAAGATAATATTTGGTAATTGTAGTCCTAAATAACTATTAAAAATAGTAACGTTTACACACAACTTCTTAGCCTGTGCAAAGAAAACGAGTGCGGACACTTAACACGGCTAGGAAACGCTAAGTACGGATTAAATCTGATCTGTTTTTAAGACCTGGTCAAGATCCTTAGCAAGGGCTAACAAAGTGTGCACCATAGCTTAGCTCAGGCTAAGTACCATTGTATTCAATTCTCATGTGAAGATTTACTATTATATTCATAACTTTTCATTTCAGTACGCCATTTCCGACAGGGCAATCAACAATCCTCACCTGATATTCTTCTGCAAATGTAAATTATTTGAAGTCAAACTCGTCGGTTTCCATTCAGTCACATGGACATGATGAATTGCTTCTAAAATTTTCTTGCGATATCCTAGTTGACGAATTCCCATCTGTAAGCCAAACAAATCAAAAGCCTGCGTAACATACTCAAAATTGCCCCAGAAAAAAACTTCTCAAAGGAACAGAATTTGCAGAACCTAAGCTATCTGTCATTCAAAGTCAGTACGAAAGTCCCACATATCAAAGAAAACGTGGTGACAAATATAGAGGGCGCTGCAGAAAAGACCAGTTTTTTCTTTTTAACACAATGTTGTGTGGAATTGTTTTAAAATAGCCAGTTTAATTTTCAAAATATGGATCTATAGATTCATGGTTATACACAATGAACCAATGAATATTGTCATGTGATTTACATCCTACTTTCTAGAAAAACATGAGTAGGTTTTCACCTTAATTCAAAATGCCTGACTGGCAGCCATTTTGTTTTTTTTTATTTTTCAAAACTTACTCTTTCAAGGTCTGCATCATTCAGTCGTAGAAATGTAGAGAATGTAATCTCTTGTTCTTGGAAGAGTGGAACTAAATGTGCCAACTCCAATCCACAAAGAAATAATTCCAGCTCGCCGTAACGAACAAAGTGTGTTTTCTCAGCTGGAGATGATTTTCTGAGAAAACAAACAAATCTGTAAATTTGACAGTGGAAGATGAACACATACATACATATGATGATGGGCATTTAGCATAGCATCTTTTTGAAAATATAAAGCATTGTGTTTGTTTTAATTTTTCAAATATTCTGTACCATCACACTTATCAAAAAATGTAATACAAATGTAAACAATAATCAAGATTTTATGATAAAAACAGAAAAATGTTTATTTAAAAGTTGACTTACTTTATTGTTGAGATGTTGGTCGTTTCTGAAGCATCTTCTGAAGAGTTATGATTTATTTTACTTCCCAGCTGACTTGGATTGGTTGCCAATTCCAATAAATCAGCCACCTAGAAATCAGAGAAAGGTTGGCACTCATTACCGTGCGTGTTTGGTGCAGATTATGGTGAGGAAAATATCAAATCGTGGACACCCGCCAAAAGCACTTACGTAAATGATAGAGGTGTGTCTGCATTGTAAATAAGTCATATTTAGTTTATGTGTGCTTCTAGATGTGAAAATTTCTGAATTCATGGGGTGTGACTGGAAGAGTATGATCAGGGCAATTTATTTTTCAATAAGTCTTGTTTGCACATTATATTTTTCTTAATTTTGCCTACAATCATTTCCAAATCACCATGCATGCAATTTGTTTTCCTCTTCTTTTCTCACTTGCACCTTTTTTTGTTCAACAAATCTTCTATCCACCACCCCCATGGTTTCAAATGGTCAGTCCCTAACCATAGTATTTGACCTGTAACCTGACGTGTGTCAATAGGTGCAACCTTTTTACCACCAGATCCCTCTTTTCATCACAAATTCACAAAATGGTCCCGTTTATAGTATGCCAATTTTTTGAGTAAAAATTGAAAATTTTTCTGCTGGCTCCAAAATCACAGTTTGCTTCCGAAGATATTGAAGAAAAAATTGCAGAAAAATTTGAGTGAGAAATTCTGGTGGTGAAAAGGTTAAAGGTCACATTTCCTGGTACTAGGACAAATAACTTTAAACCACCTCTGAACTATGAAGAGCTGCAGCTGATATCCATGATTAGTCAATATACACAATTATTTCTACCTAAAATATCATGAAGAAATTTTTCCAGATTAAAAGAAAATTTTTCAATAATGTGCCTCCAGAGGGCGCTATTACGTTTCAACACTGACAGCAGCAGGGCTTTTATACTTTGCTCTTTTGCCATAACTTTTTACTTTGTCCTGTTGCTATTGATCAATATCAAACAGACCAAGACATATTCACAAATGTTATTATATAATATTTTAATTCAATATTACTCACCGCTGTATAGTTTTGAGCATACGCTATATCAGCTGGCGTCTGACCATCACACGCTAGTTTCTTTGCGTCTGCATGGAACTCCAGTAATGTTCTTACAATGTGCAGATGTCCTCTACTTGCTGCCCAAGTTAATGCCTACCAGGTACAGGAAACAAGTCACAAACAAACGGACATCTTTGAGACAAAATAATTTGATTGCATAATACATGTATCGACTGAGGAGCAGGATACAACGTTTCATTGTACTTTTCAGTTTCACCTCCAGTACCCACTTCCAATTAAACAATGAAAAAAACATATATGCAAAATAAAAACTAGTGAAATAATTTCAAAACTTACTGTCCATCCTCGTACATCCTGTTTATCGATATCAACGCCATTGTCAAGGAGACACCGCACAAGTGACTGGTACCCTTGTCTCGACACATACATCAAGCAGGTCATGTGATACCTAGGAAGAAAAAGGGTATTATGGGTAATATAATACATGCTGACTTACAGTGTCCATGTTTGAGAATATTTGACAATAGGGTGTGATTATTCTGTCATAATGGCAATTTAATGCACTATTCCGATGTCAACCAAGCCCAGTTGAACACAAGAAGTTGTAAACAATTATTTATCATAATCAAAGGTTATTCCTCTTCCAGTGTAAGAAATTTTGTAATGTGAAATCCCAACATTGTACACATGCTTACCTATCATGGCAGTTGACTTTTGCACCATGCTGAATTAATTCACTAACGCAACTCAGTATTGCGGCTTCGTTTTCTTTGTTACAGGTACACGCCGACATCAGCACAGTGAATCTATCTGTGGTGAAATGAACAGCAAACAAATTATTAGAATCACAACACTTTTACATAAATACAGTACCCAATTAATAAAGCAAACAAAAAAATTACATGGCTATGCTTCTAAAGAATGGTAATAGTACGAATACATACATTTACTTTTGATCCGTGTGTAATATACTTGTTCACCTCCAAAAAATATTGCCATTTTCTAAACTTGCGAAAATTTGTCTCGCAAAAACTTAAAGCAGTCTACAGTATAAATTAACATTCACTAACTCAAATAAACTATACTCTCAAATGACCGCCGAGATTTTTTTGAGAGTGAGAGAACCGCAAGACTTGTTTTGCCCTGCAAAAAGTGCTACATTATTGTCCCTCATCACATTCACTGTTTCAATACATGGAGGAACAGTGGACGCAATTGCGCATGCAGACAGAATTATTTGAGGGGTAAATGTACGTATGGTGGCTTTCACATACTCGACAAAATCTGTGTCTGAGGGCTTCAATAAATCAAAATTTAGTTTTTTGGAGCTTTGAATTTTTTTGACATATATTTTTTTGTGAAAACATAGGGATGCAATGCTTTGATTTCAAAATTGAATTACCTACCTTTGTGAAAATTGGCATCTGCTCCTCGGTCCAGCAGTAATTTCACAATATCAGCACTGCCGAAACTAGCTGCATACATCAATGCTGTCCACCCTGTCTTCAAAATGGAATCAACCGGTACACCTACAGATAAGACAGATATTTGTAAGCATTACCAAGTAATGACCTCATCATCGATCATTGTCAAAGTCAATGTCAATTTGCTTATTGGTCGACACATATTAGTTCTCTTGTAATAGTCAGTGTTTTTACCAAATGGACATACATTGGGTAAATAGTTATTAACATTTATATGCAAACAGTATTTTATTCTATTAAAAAAACATGTTTTCTCATTTGCTACCACTAAGGTCATTTTGGCCCAATATAACATTGACCAAAAAATATGAAAATATTGGTGAAAAACGCAGATTAAGTCCCTTTAAAGCAGCTTACTTAAATATATTTACTGTGTTACAATTCCAGATAAAATTGATATTTAAGCACAAAATATTTACTTGAAATCAACACTGAGGGAGCCATACCTTTATCGATGTAACTCTGCACTTCAGCCAGATTGCCTCTGATCACAGCTGATCTTAAATCATCAACAACCAATGGGGACCCTTGTTTATCACGACGACGAGGGCTACGCTTCCTTCGGCCAAAACTATTAGATCTTTTTCTCAACTCAGGAAGAGGTGCCCTGAAGTTGGAATTGGGCGTCGGTGGTAAAATATCCGCTTCTGGGGCACCAAGTGAAAATCCAACCTGTAGGTGTGATTTGATACGGGTCAGATTTAATTATATAACACATAACAGGTTTTTAATGAAGCTGAAGTTTTACGAATTCTACAACAGTAAACACTAGAGCCATGGCCATTTCCACCAATCAGATCACAGAATGCTAAACACATAGATGAGAGAATTTTGGAAAGCATGATTTTAAACAAATTCAATTTTTAGCCAAACTATTCAACATATATATCAATTTTGCTATAAGATTCTACACTGACATCAGTGGTGAGACAGACATAACATAAGATCAAATTAGCATACATTACAGTAAAGGGCATAAAACTGTGGTTGTTATAAATTTTTTATAAATATACATTTTTATAAATCAACATAGATGGTAGAATTCAAACTGACCAATCCGGAAACGGTATTGTGACATCAACGTTCTAGTTAACATTAATGAGATCATCATTATCCAATCAGCAGACACCTCATTTTGAATATGTGGGCGACCACAATTGCTATGTCCTGTGAAGGCATGTGCGTACATTATGGGTGTAGACAATGTTCAGCTCCTGAACCAATCACTATTAAATATTTGAATAGTGGCTGATGATCGGCTTATACAATTTTTTTATAAATACATTTATAAGTAAAGCCCCAGATGTGTGCTTTTCCCTGTATTGGTATCACCCATGTTAGAAGCCAATTATAGAATGACATCAAAGTCTGTACAGGTCACTTTGTTTTTCTATAACCTGTTATTATATTACAAGTTTCTTACACCAAAACAAAAACAAATCCACCTATAGAGGGCGCTTCTTTAATCTATACCAGCGCACTACGTGATGATAAACATTCAACATTTTTATGGGATATGGGGCCATGCACGCAGAGTAAAAATAGACAGGAGTGGTGATAACTTAGAAAAGAATGGATATTTTAAAGCTATTTTATACGCTTTATATGATGAAAGCGTTACGGAGTATGCATTGCTCAAAAAAAATCAGCGAACGCAAATTTACAAGTTCAAAAATGAATGAAATTCGAAAGGCCACGTGTGGGCGTTTTGATAGACCGTCAATGTGACGGTAGCAGTAACGTTTATCGTGCAGTGACATGTAATAAAACACTGTGTTATCTCACCCTGCAGTCTTTATCGAAACCACCGCACCCAAGATCGAAATCGTCATCGTCATAATCTCCTAAGCCGTCTTCAGACCCCGCTGGACAAAACCCGTAAGCAACATCGGCGGCCATGATCGAATCAATATAAACTTCTCTATTGCACTAATGAGGGCGCTGCTTCTTTGCGATTTCCTTGAAATATTACTGCGGAAGCGAGAAGACGGGTGTGCCGTTTTGCGGTAGACCATGGAGGAATACCTCCATGGGTCGACCGAATAAAAATTCAATTTATAAATAATTCAAATGAAATTAATTCTCAAATCCGCATTCGAACTGTAGCCTTGTTAATATTTCTGCCGTATTTCCTGCTCACGTTCTTCCGCTTCAAAGCGACTGAACTGTGAGTGAACTCACTCATTGAGGTAATTCCTGACAATGTAATTACTTTCTGACGATCGAGGTCATCCACCTTGTAATGTACACCACCAGTATCAATGCACATGTCTAATGTTTTATGTAATTTCCACTACATTCTTACAAATGACCTTATGATCGCATTACTCAGGTGGAAATTCTGGTAGGTTTTTACAGCAGTAATGTTAAAATTATACGTTAAGGATAAGACCAAATTGTCCACCCCAATATTAACATATACTACTACCGGGGTAGTAATCTTATTTCATACTGTAAAATGACTAATTTTCACTGGGTTTAAATTTTATTGATATAGCATTTCAGGCATATTCAGTAGGTTTTAAATTCATGGTTTTATCATTAAGATAATGTGTCCTATGCTTAATTTTACATATTCACTGGGTTTAAATTTAGCGCATTTTCCAGTCAGCGAAATAAGCAAAATTAAAACCCAATGAATAATTAACCCTTTTACAGTACTCTCACGCAGAACTATTTATACTATAACTGTACATTACCCCGATGACCTGACGAAGCAAGACTAAAGAAAGAAATCGGTCATGGCTAGATATATTCAAAAAATGGCATTGTGATGCACTTTATTATATTATGTTAAATTCTTTGGCGGTAGTGTTTCCCTTTTTTTTTTTTTAAATATTTTGTCACAGACCGCAATTACATCTTAGTTTATTTTAGAAATAATACAAGGCACGGCAACATTTTCTTAATCTTAAAAAAATAATTGTTTACCATACTGAAAAATGCGTACAGGATTATTTGGATAAACAAAAATACTATTGGACATCTAAAACCTATTTAGTAACATAGTTTCAACAGAACATCTGCGCTTTCGGGTCAATATACAAGCGAGTATAGCGCCACCAGTGTTCAAATCACATAAACTTTCGTTTCAAAGTAGCAATGTTCATACATATACCCAGAACATGTTTGTTTTTTTCAATACAACACAACATATATTTTCATGCCACATTTTTAAGAACTCGCTGACTATAAATATGAATGTTATATAAATAGAAGCACTTATAGAAGCAAAATTATGCCGACTAGCAAAATGATGGTCAGCTAATTTTACTGACTCACTCATAACTGATGGAAAAATTACAATATTGTGCATCTTCATATACAGTGGACCTTATTGCAACAAAATTATTTTTCACGTATTAAAAAGTATTTCTGCTGAGAAACATGTCTTTGTTAAAATACATTGTTGTTGTTGAAATATTAGACACAATGTAAGTAATCAAATTTATAAAAATAATTGGCAACAGTTCAAAATATAATAAATATAGAAATCAAGTTAATCTGCACTTACTAGAGAAATTTAAATTTAAAGCCAATTAAATTTACAAGTTTTTTTTTTCGTCCTGTTATCAACGTGTTGAAATCGATAATTATAGCACTTTTAAAACAAAAAATTGCACAAATTTGTTCACCTATTTCCTTGGTTGTTGATGGTAATGTACCTCAACCCAACCCTTAGAGATGAGGAAATGACCGACATGCAACAAATAACTTCCTCATTTTTCTATTTCATCAAATGATCTTAATCATTGACCCACCATGCAAGATACTCATACTAAATTGACTGGAATCTGCACAGGCATGCCTAAAAAACATTTAACCATATACAGTATAGTAGAAAGGACAAGCAACTCAAGTGATTCTACTGTAATAGGGTGGGCTGGAAAAAAATTAAGCTGATTAACTGACCATTAATATAAACTAAATATTTATTTCAATTTCTCATAAAAGGAATGTTGCAAAGTGCATGTTTTTGTTGATGCAAATCGACTAAGGTACAGTTGTACACTATACTGTCTATGAATTAACTTTGGGACAAAAGTAGCCACCAATTTGGCAACTTAAATAAAATCATAAGCAAATTAATGGGAAGATATAAACTATTCAAATTTGTACTTCAGCTAAATGTGAACAAAATTTGTCAAAGAATGTTCCAGAAATGATATTGGACAAATTGGTCACTATGAATTTTCACTGTGACCAGGGACTTAACAAGTTCAGTTGAATTACTTTCTTGATCCCCACCATTCTTGTATCAAATGTGCCTTTTCTATACATCATCTTTTGTTTCAATAATACAAGATGGTGAACTAAATATACACATCAACGGACAGCAGAAACTAAATTATGCATGTAGGACCCGGTTTTCAAATTATATTTGAAACATGGACCATTAAAGCGGGGGGGTCGTCACCTGCGCATGTGTCAAATGGTGATACATGTAGCATGTGAATGGACACAAACAAGCGTCTACCCATGAGCCTTTGCATTTTTAGCATGTGTTGTCATCGTCGTTTGGGTCTCAATTCTCACACAGATAATGACCCTCTCGCTTTAAATGAAACATTTTAACACAGTACATTTTGGGATTGTCTCAAAAGAAAGGTCACACCCCTGCGAGGATCCCACTATCACATACCAACATGCTTCCTAATATTCTCACAATTTTAAACACACAGACACATAATTTTTTTAAGTTTTTAAATATTTGCTGCAAGAACAATTTATTGAAAATAAAGAATATCCACTTTAGAAAATGGGAAGAATAGGAACTTCCCTAAAGTTTTAAGTAAACATCAATGAAATAAAGATATAGCTCTGTTGACACATGGCAGTACAGAGCGGATATATACGTTATGTCAATAAGATAAATACAATATACTTGTATTGTGGTCCAATGTAGTGAATAGTCGGTACATAAAGTGTCATCATTCCTCCCTTCATTCCCACAGTTGTCAAACATGGAGACGAATTCCTCTTATTTACAGGATACAAACATTACTAATTGTTGCAACAAAAAAACATTACAGCCACTCACGATTTGACTTTATACAATAGAATAATTTTGACCCAAAATAAAAGTTTTACCAGCTTGGCAACTTTTGTAAAGTGTATGCGTGCATTCCTATTGGTTTTATATTGGACACAATCAGTTTGAATATGCTAATTGTCCATCTCCATATTTGGCATATCTTTATATTTAGGCACATCTCCATATTTGGCACTTGTGGGGGTTGTCCATAGATATGCAAAATGTCTATATTATGATGCTACTGTAAATATAATAACCAAGCAATCGGTGATAGTTTGAAGAAAACTGAAGACTCTTGGTGAAACCCTGTCATTCCAACATAATAGTCCAAGTCATTTTCTATGGTTGAAAAAAATTATACAGACAACACAAAAACTGGCAACTGATATCTGCCCATGATTTACTGAGATACAATATATCATTCAGTAAGGTATAAACAAAATTGTAAACAGAAAGATATAGGAAAGTCATCAAAGTTTCTTTAACCTTTGAATTTTTTCATTATTTTGATCTTTGTTAATTTTATACCAAATTGAAATAATTTCCTCCTGGCTACACGCCTAAAGGTTTTTAAAAAATAATTTGAAAAAATTATTATTTTGTGAAGGGTGAAAGGATTTGAAATTTGACCTTTAAAGTGGATTTAGATGTTCATAAATACCCACCCTCATTTATTTTAGCACAATATGAGCATGACACAGAATTTTATTCTGATAAATATGAAAACTTTGTTTTCTAATTGTTGCTCCAAAATGACATTAAACTAGATTTGTCCATCTTTTATCAATTCCAGTTAAAGAATGATTCAGGTATTTCTAACAAAAATGGTAAAAAAAAATCCTGATGAACACAAATTATTTTGACTTTGTGTTTGGGAATTTGCACTAAAGCATCATAGCATATGTTTGCCAACTGATTCAAATAACCACAGCTTCCAAGTATAAGGGTAGAGGTGTGTATCATGGTATTACACAGAGAATGATGTTGGTATTTGCAGATGGGTGAATCGCTGGACTATCTGTACCGACTATTACAAGTCTCAATGTCTATAGACGCGACAATTGATGCCACAGTGTCGACGGCAACATGCTTTCAATCTTGTCGAGTAGGAAGTTGAATGGAGCAGAAATGGTAGACAAGAACTGAAAGTAAAATACAGAGATGCATTAATTAATTTTTGTTTGAGGCACACACTTTTGATTAAATAACTTTGTCAATTGGTAAAAGTTAATAATTTGTATTTTTGTCTAAATACTGTAAGTGTCCACAGCATGCATAATTGAAAATACAAAATGTCTTATCTGTGCCCTAGAGGGAAAAACAAGCAATTGCTAAAGAAATTAAACATTAACTCCTACTCCATCTCACAAACCAAATAAAACAGAAATCATGAAATTTTTTTTGCTATGACATCTGAAGTTTGATGCACATTCTGCGCAAACATTACTTGATACAATCATGTTAAGTCATTGTACAAATTATTTCAAATAAAATTAAACAACAAAACGATCTTACAACACTTCAATGAGAATGATAACAGAATATTTTATTTTGAATAAATTCCTCTCATAAATACACTTACAGTTTTAGCGATCATTCCCATAGGTTCTGGGAATTGGTGTGTCAATAAAGCCAGTAATGCTGTAAAGGAGCACAGTCCGGCAGTGAACAGGATAAAGAATGGCAGCTCCTTCTTTGGATAAACTGATAAATCATGGAAGGCTGAAAACAAACGACAATATTTCAATTTTTTATTTTTATTTGAGATATTGTTCATTAAACTGCTTGGGGATAGAGTACATTCTGGCATTCAGATTCAAATGTAGTATCATTTAAGGGAAGCAGTGTTATATTTCCCATCAAC